TTGGTAGAACTCTCCTGTGAAGCCATCTGGTCCTGGACTTTAGTTTGCTGGCAGTTTTTAATCACAGATTTAATTTGAGTATTTATAATTGGTCTGTTCATATTTTCTATTTTTTCCTGGTTCAGTCTTGGGAGATTGTACCTTTCTAAGAATTTGTCCATTTCTTCTAGGTTGTCAATTTTATTGGCCTATAGTTTCCTATAGTAATCTTTTATGGTTCTATTTCTGTGGTGTCAGTAGTAACTTCTTTTTCATTTACAATTTTACTGATTTGCATCCTTCCCCGCCCTTTTTTGATAAATCTAAGGGTTTATCCAGAAAAAAAGAAATCTAAGGGTTTATAAATTTTCTTTATCTTTTTAAAGAACCAGCTTATAGTTTCATATTTTCTATTGTCTTCTTAGTCTCTATTTCATTTTTTTCTGCTCCGTCCATTATGATTTCTTTCTTTCTACTAACGTTGGGTTTTATTTCTTTCACTAGTTGCTTTAGGTGTAAGGTTAGGTTGTTTATTTAAGATTTTTCATGTTTCCTGAGTTAAGCTTGTATTGCTATTAACTTTCCTTTTAGAACTGTTTTGCTGCATCCCTTACAATTTTGTTCATTGTGTTTTCATTTTCATTTGTCTCCAGGTATTATTTTAATTTCTTCTTTGATTTCTTCAGTGATCCACTGGTTGTTTAGTAGCATATTGTTTAGCCTCCAAATGTTTATTGTTTTTTGCAGTTTTTTTCTCATAATTGATTTCTAGTCTCATAGCACAGGGGTAGGAAAAGATGCTTATATGTTTTCAATTTTCTTAAATTTACCAAGGCTTGTTTTGTGGTCCAGCATATGATCCACCCTGGATAATGTTCCATGTGCACTTAAAATGAATGTGTATTTTGCTGTTTTTGGATGGAAAGCTTTGTAAAGATCAATTAAGTCCTTTGGTTTAAAGTGTCATTTAAGGCCTGTGTTTCCTTGCTGATTCTCTGTCTGGATGATCTGTCCATTGATGAAAGTAGAGTATTAAAATCCCCTATTATTACTGTGTCACTGTTAATTTCTCCTTTTATGCTTGTTAACATTTGCCTTGTATACTGAATTGCTCCTGGGTTGGGTGTATATATATATATATATTTAAATTTGTTATATCTTCTTCTTGGATTGATTCCTTGATCATTATGTTGTGTCCTTCTTTGTCTCTCGTAACATTCTTTTTTTAAAGTCTATTTTGTCTGATATGAGTATGGCTACTCCAGCTTTCATCTGATTTCCTTTTGCGTGGAATACCTTTTTCTGTCCTCTCACTTTAAGTCTGTATGTGTCTCTAGATCTGAAATGGGTCTCTTGTAGACAGCATATATACTGTTCTTATTTTTGTATCCATTCAGCCAGTCTGTGTCTTTTTGTTGGGACATTTAATCCATCTACATTTAATGTAATTATTGATCTGCATGTTCTTATTGCCACTTTGTTAATTGTTTTGGATTTGTTTTTATGGGTCTTTTTCCTTTTCTCTTTTGTTCTCCTCTCTTGTTATTTGATGTTTATTTTTAGTGTTGTGTTTGAATTGCTTTTTTGTCTGTATATCTATTATAGATATTTGGTTACCATGAGGTTTTGATATAGCTCTCTCTCTCTCTCTCTCTCTCTCTCTCTCTCTCTCTCTATACACACACACACACACACACACACACACACACACACACACACGATTGTTTTAAGTTGCTGATGTCCTAAGTTCAAATGCATTTCAAATAGCCTGCATTTGTACTATCATCCTCTCACAATTACTCATTTAGATATAATATTTGTTTGTGGATGATTTTCTACCTTTACTGTATATTTGCCTTTACCAGTGAGCTTTTTCCTTTCATAATTTTCTTTTTTCTAGTTGTGGCCATTTATTTTCCACCTAGAGAAGTTCCTTTTAGCATTTGTTGTAAAGCTAGTTTGGTGATTCTGAATTTTTTTAGCTTTTGCTTGTCTGTAAAGCTTTTGATTTCTCCATCAAATCTGAATAAAATCCTCACTGGGTAGAATATTCATGGTTGTAGGTTTTTCCCTTTCATCACTTGAAACATATCTTGCCACTCCCACTGGCTTGCAGAATTTCTGCTGAAAAATCATCTTATAACCTCATGGGGATTCCCTTGTGTTATCTGTTGCTTTTCCATTGTTGCTTTTAATATTTTCTCTTTATCTTTAATTTTTGTCAATTTGATTACTATATGTCTCTGTATGTTCCTCCTTTGGGTTAATCCTTTATGGAACTCTCTGCACTTCTTGGACTTGGGTGACTGTTTCCTTTCCCATGTTAGGGAAGTTTTCAGCTATTATCTTTTCACATATTTTCTCAGACACTTTCTCTCTCCCTTATCCTTCTGAGACCCCTATAATGCAAATATTGATGTGTTTCACTTTGTCCCAGAGGTCTCTTAAACTGTCTTTTCATTCTTTTTTCTTTATTCTGTTCTGTGACAATGATTTCTACCACTCTGTCTTCTAGCTCACTTATTCATTCTTCTGACTCATTTTTTCTGCTATTGATTCCTTCTAGTGTGTTTTTCATTTCAGTTATTGTATTCTTGAGCGGTGTTTGGTTGTTCTTTATATTTTCTCTTTGTTAAAACTTCTTGTAACTTCTCGTTCTGTGCACCCATTCTTTTCCTGAGTTCTTGGATCATCTTTATGATCATTACTCTGAACTCTTTCTCAGGTAGATTGCCTATCTACACTTACTTGCTCTTCTGGGGGTTTATCTTGTTCCTTCATCTGGAACATATTCCTCTTACTTGCTCTTCTGGGGGTTTATCTTGTTCCTTCATCTGGAACATATTCCTCTGCCAACTCATTTTGTCTAAATTTCTTATTTGTATTTTTATGTATGTGGAAGGTTAGATGTTTCTCAACCTTGAAGAAGTGGCCCTCTATATGGGGTGTCCTACTTGCCCCAGCAGTGCACTCCCCTCTCATCACCCAAGGGCCAGGCACCAGCTGGTCCCAGGGTAGTTTCTAATCTACATTTGCAGCCTTGTTCGTCAGTCTGCAGGATTGTAGTTTTCTTGCTTCTGTGTCTTCCCCAAGGTGAGTGAGGTTGGTCTAGACGCTTGTGGAGGCTTCCTTCTGGGAGGGGCTGGTGCCTGCCCACTGGTGGGTGGAGCTGGGTCTTGGCTCTCTGGTGAGCAGGGCCATGTCAAGGGGGATGTCTAGAGGCAGCTGTGGGCTCAGGAAGTCTTTAGGCAGCCTGTCTGTTGATGGGTGGAGCTGTGTTCTTGCCCTGTTGATTGGCTGGCCTGAGGTGTCCCAACACTGGAGCCTACAGGCTGTTGGGTGGGGCCTGGTCTTGGTGCCAAAATGTTGGCTCCAGGAGACCTCATGCTAGTGTATACTCCCTGGTACATCTGCCAGCAGTGTCCTGTCCTCACAGTGAGCCACAGCCATCCTCCACCTTCTCAGGAGACCCTTGAAGGCCAGCAGGTAGGTCTGGTCTAAGCTCCTATGAAGTCACTGCTTTTGCCCTGAGTCCCAGTGTGCATGAGACCTTGTGTTCTCCCTCCAAGAGTGGAGTCTCTGTTTCCTCCAGTGTTGTGGAGCTCATGCACTCCAGCCTCACTGGCCTTCAAAACCAAATGCTCTGGGGGTTTCTCCTTCCAATCCAGAACTCCAGGCTGGGGTGCCTGCAATGGGGCTCAGAACTCTCACTCCTGTGTGAGAACTTCTGTGATATAATTGTTCTCCAGTTGGTGCATCACCCACCCAGGGGGTGTGAGATTTGATTATATCACAACTGTGTCCCTCCTACCATCTTGTATCTATTTTTTTCAAATGCCCATACATCCATCTTGGCTTAGAACTAATGTGTGAGATAGGATTTTTTTTATAATATTGTTTTACATGATAAGTAGTGAATTCTTACTCATAGGCCCCAAAGAAAACAATTTTTTTCTTTCTAAAAGTTTCAGAAGGGCTTCCCTGGTGGCACAGTGGTTGAGGGTCCGCCTGCTGATGCAGGGGACGCGGGTTCGTGCCCCGGTCCGGGAGGATCCCACGTGCCGCGGAGCGGCTGGGCCCGTGAGCCATGGCCGCGGAGCCTGCGGGTCTGGAGCCTGTGCTCTGCAGCGGGAGAGGCCACGACAGTGAGAGGCCCGCGTACTGCAAAAAAAAAAAAAAAAAAAAAATTTCAGAAGTGAGAAAATGAGTGTTATGACTATGCTTTTTTTCTAAATACAGAATGTAAATGATAGCCATAAATGGAAATCATTTTGCAATCAGAGAGAAAATATAGCACCATTACAGCTACTAAATAGAATAAAGTGGAATAGAGTTCCTTGCCCAAAAAAGAAAAGAAATCTAAACATTGCCTATATCTAAAACTGTATTTATAGTACCTATCCACATTTTAACCCATTCACGTGTCACTACCAAAGGAAAAAAAATGTGTGTTTCTTGAACACCAGGAGTCTTGGGGATTTTTCTTTTCCACTACAAATCCTCCAGAAAACCTCTTAGAATTCCTGTCCTTGAAGAAGGAGTCAAATTAGACAGTGAGAAATAACCCTCAATGAAGGTGAGATGGGCCCTCTCTAATCTAGTAGTTTACTGTCCATTTCTAACAGTACCTGTCTATATTCTCATAGCTATAAAAAATGAGATTTATCAGATAAAAGAAAATCATTCAGATTTTCAGGTGCCAGATAAAAAACATGGTTATTCTCTGGAGTTTCTTTACTAGGAATAAGACTAGTATTACTAGGAAAGACTAAGTTCTTTACTAGGAATAAGACTCATTCTACATTCTGGTGGTTCTCAGTAAGTTTTAGCTGTTTTCCGAGAAGGAATTGTATGTATCAGCACAAGGCAGTCTTCTGAAATGATGGTAACAGCAGACAGAGTCTCAATAAACTCTGGCTTGGTACTCCCAACACCATTCTAAATTAAGAGCATGATATTGTCATACAGCAATTTTTTCTATTTTTAAAAAATAAATCAAGTAAGGCTATAAAACAGACATATCAAAGGGCAAGATATTTTTATTCAAATAAACCTGTTTAATGAATTGTTCAGATATTTATTTATGCAACAAGTATTTATCAAGAAACTTCTATGTGCCAAACATTGATTTAGTGGTGGGGATACAATAATGAACAATGAAAAATAACCCCACACAAGTCCCAACCCTTTTGGAGTGCATTCTTTGGAAGGGTTGACAGGCAATAAACGAGGTAAATAAGTGAAAAACACATGATAGTAATAAGTGGTAAAAGAAAAAAAATGTAGATGAGAAAACTTGAGGGCCATGATGAAATTTTAGATTAGGTGATCAGAGAGGACCTCATTGAAAAGTCAAGAAAATGAAATGAGAATCAAAACACTTCAGCTAACTTCATAATTACCCCCTCTCCCACCTTCAAGGACACAACTGCAAGGGAGAAGAAAACTATAACACAACGTACTAATTTGAACTATGCACATGTGTGCACAATCCAACTTAAGAAATAAAACCTTACAGATACTAATATAAAATCCCATATAATTAATGTTCTACCACTGTTTTATCCCACATTAAAAAGTAATCAGTATTCTTAATTTGGTGTTTATCACATCTATAATTTTTACTTTTTCTACATAGGATTGTATTTCTAAACCACGAGTGAAATCAAACTGTATGCATCCTTCTGTAACTTGTTTTTATTCAACATTACATATTTTCAGGGTTATCTCTAATGACAAAAATATTTCTAAGTCATTAATTTTAAACTGCTCTATAGACTTTTGTGGAATGACCGTCTATTCTCTTGTTAGTTAATGGTCATTTAACTGTTTATTTCTGATATAAAGAGTGCAGTTGACTTACTTGAAAAGTTAATATGTATCTCTACCTTATTGATCATTTTAATTTTCAGTATAGACAATCATGTCATCTACAATACTTTGTTACTTCCTTTCTGATCAATATGTATCTCTACCTTATTGATCATTTTAATTTTCAGTATAGACAATCATGTCATCTACAATACTTTGTTACTTCCTTTCTGATCATTAGACATTTTATTTATCTGTCATGTTTTACTCTTCTGGCTAAAACTTCTGGTACAGTGTTGAAAAGAAATGGGCATAACAGTCATACATGTTTTGTTCCTATCTTTAAAAGAAATGCTTCAATATTTCATCATGTGATGTTATGGTTATTTGCTAGTTATGTTTGGTTTAGGAAGTTCTCTTCTTTTTTGAATTGAAGTATAGTTCGTTTACAATGTTGTGTTAATTTCTGCTGTACAGCAAAGTGATTCAGATTATATACATATATATATATATAATTTTTCATATATTTTTTCCATTATGGTTTATCACAGGATATCAAATATAGTTCCCTGTGCTATACAGTAGGACCTTGTTGTTTATCCATCCTATATATAATAATTTTCATCTGTGAACCCCAAACTCCCAATTCATCCCTGCCCCAGCACCCCCTTGACAACCTCAGGTCTGTTCTCCATGTCTGTGAGTTTGTTTCTGTTTCATAGATAGGTTCATTTGTGTCATATTTAGGTTCCACATATAAGTGATATGATCTGGTATTTATCTTTCTCTGTCTGACTTATTTCACTTAGTATGATAATCTCTATGTCTATCCACATTGCTGCAAATGGTATTATTTCATTCTTTTTTATGTCTGGGTAGTATTCCATGGTATATAGGCACCACATCTTCTTTATCTATTCATCTGTTGATGGACATGTGGGTTGTTTCCATGTCTTACCTATTGTAAATAGTGCTGCTATGAACATTGGGGTGCATGTATCTTTTGAATTATAGTTTTGTCCAGATATATGCCCAGGAGTGGGATTGCTGGATCATATGGCAACTCTATTTTTAGTTTTTTAAGGAACCTACATACTGTTTTTTATAGTGGCTGCACCATCTTACATACCCACCAACAGTGTAGGAGGGTTCCCTTTTCTCCACACCCTCTCCAGCATTTGTTATTTGTAGACTTTTTAATGATGGCCATTCTGACTGGTGTGAAATGTTACCTCATTGTAGTTTTGATTTGCATGTCTCTAATAATTAGTGATGTTGAGCATCTTTTAGTGTGCCTATTGGCCATCTGTATGTCTTCTTCGGAGAAATGTCTATTTAGGTCTCCGGACCATTTTTTTTTTGGATTCGGTTTTTTGTTTTTTGCTATTGTTGAATTGTATGAGCCTTTTGCATGTTTTGGAAATTAAGTCATTTTCAGTTGCATCATTTGCAAAAATTTTCTCCCTGTCTATAAGTTATGTTTTCATTTTGTTTATAGTTTCCTTTGCTGTGCAAAAGGTTGTTTGATTATGTCCCATTTGTTTATTTTTGCTTTTGTTTCTATTACCTTGGGAGACTGACCTAAGAAAACATTGCTATGATTTATGTCAGAGAATGTTTTCCCTATGTTCTCTTGTAGGAGTTTTATGGTGTCATGTCTTATATTTAAGTCTTTAAGCCATTTTGAGTTTTTTTTTTGTGTGTGTGTGTGTATGGTGTGAGGGTGTTCTAACTTCCTTAATTTATGTGGGGTTCTCCAGCTTTCCCAACACCACTTGCTGAAGAGACGTTTTTCCCGTAGTATATTCTTGCCTCCTCTGTCAAGTGTTAATTGACCCTATGTGTGTTTGTTTATTTCTGGGCTTTCTAATCTGTTCCATTGATTCCTATGTCTGTTTTTGTGCCAATACCATGCTGCTCTACTTACTTTAGTTTTGCAGCATTGTCTGAAGTCTGGGAGGGTTATGCCTCCTGCTTTGTGCTTTACCCTCAGGATTGACTTGGCAATTCTGGGTCTTTTATGGTTCCATATAAATGTTAGGATTATTTGTTCTAGTTCTGTAGAAAAATGTCATGGTTAGTTTGATAGGGATTGTATTAAATCTGTAGATTGCTTTGGGTAGTACGACCATGTTAACGAGGTTAATTCTTCCTATCCAAGAGAGTAGAATATCTTTCCATTTCTTTGAATCATCTTCAATTTCCTGTATTAATGTTTTATCATTCTCAGATCTTTCACCTCATTGGTCAGGTTTATTCTTAAGTATTTAATTTTTGGATGTGATTTTTAAAAGGATTGTTCTTTTACATTCCCTTTCTGATATTTCATTGTTAGTGTAAAGAAATGCAATCAACTTCTGTATGTTAATCTTGTATCCTGCTACCTTTTTGAATTTGTTTATCAGTTCTAGTAGTTCTAGTTTGGAGTCTTTAGGGTTTTCTTTATATAGTATCATGTCATCTGCATATAATGACAACTTTACCTCTTCCCTTCCTATTTGGATACATTTTATTTCTTTTTCTTGTCTGATTGCTGTGTTTCAGACTTCCATTACTATGTTGAATAGAAGTGGTGAGAGTGGGTATCCTTGTTCCATATTTTAGCAGGAAGGCTTTCAGCTTTTCACCATTGAGTATTATGTTGGCTGTGGGTTTGTCATAAATAGCTTTTATTATATTGAGATATGTTCTCTCTATATCTACTTTGGTAAGAGTTTTAAAAAATTTTTTATCATGAATGGATGTTGGATTTTATCAAATGCTTTTTCTACCTGTACTGAGATTATTGTGTGGTTTTTGTCTTATCTTCATGTGGTTCATCACATTGATTGATTTCAATATGTTGAACTATCCTTGTGACACTGGGATGAATCCAACTTGGTTGTGGTGTATGATCTTTTTTATATGTTGTTGGATTCAGTTTGCTAATATTTTGAGGATTTTTGCATCTATATTCATCAAAGATATTGGCCTGTAATTTTCTTTTTTGATAGCATCTTTGGTTTTGGTATCAGGGTGAAGGTGGCTTCACAGAATGTTTTTTGGAGTGTTCCCTCCTCTTTAACCTTTTGGAAAAATTTGAGAAAGATCGATATAAGTTCTTTTTTATCTGTTTGGTAGAATTCGCCTTTGAAGATATCTGGTCCTGTACTTTTGTTTGTAGGGAGTTTATTTATTTTTTTATTACAGATCCTATTTCACTTCTAGTGATTGGTCTGTTCACATTATCTGTTTCTTCTTGATTCAATTTTGGTGGGCTCTTATGTTTCTAGAAACTTGTCCATTTCTTCTAGGTTGTCAAATTTGTTGGTAATTAATTGCTCATAATATTCTCTTATGGTTTTTTGTATTTCTGTGATATCGGTTGTTATTTCTCCTTTTTCATTTCTTTTGTTTATTTGGGTCCTCTCTCTTTTCTTCTTGTTGAGCCTGCACAGAGTTTTGTCAATTTTGTTTACCCTTTCAAAGAATGAGCTCTTGGTTTTATTGATTTTTTTCTATTGTCTTTTAAAACTCTATTTTATTTATTTCCTCTGATTTTGATTTCCTTCCTTCTACTGACTTTAGGTTTTGTTTATTCTTCTTTTTCCAATTCTTTTAGGTGGTTATTTATTTGGCCTGTGTCGCTATGAACTTCTCTCTAAGAACTGCCTTTGCTGAAACCCATACATAGAGTTTGTATGGTTCTGTTTTCATTGTCATTTGTCTCAAGGTATTTTTTAATTTCCTCTTTGATTTCATCATTTACCCATTGGTTTTTTAGTAGCATGTTGTTTAGTCTCCATGTAATCGTTTTTTCTCATTTCTTTTTCTGTGGTTGGTTTCTAGTTTCATGCAATTCTGGTCAGAAAAGATGATTGAAATAATTTCTATAGTCTTAAATATGTTGAGGCATGTTTTATGTCCTAGTTTGTTGTCAATCCTAAAAAATATTCCATATACACTTGAAAAGAAAGTGTATGCTGGATTTTTTTTGTGTGTGTGTGGTGGGGGTGTGGGAGTGTGGATGCAATGTCCTGAAAGTATCAATTAAGTCTAATTTCTATTGTGTCATTTAGGATCTCTGTTGCCTTACTGATTTTCTGTCTAGAAGATCTCTCCATTGATGTGAGCAGAGTGTTAAAGTCTCCTACTATCATTGTATTCCCATAATTTTTTTGCTTTATGTCTGTTAGTATTTGCTTTACTTATTTTGGTGCTCCTATATTGGGTGCATATATGTTGACAACTGTAATATTCTCTTTTTGTATCGATCCTTTTATCATTATACAGTGTCCTCCTTTATCTTTCTTTATGGCCTTTCTTTTAAAGTCTACTTTGTCTGAGTATTGCAACCCCCACTTTCTTGTCATTTCCTTTTTATGAAATATCTTTTTACAACCCCAAATTTTCAATCTATGTGTGTCCTTTGTCCTAAAGTGAGTATCTTTTAGGCAGCATATTGTAGGCTCTCTTTTTTTTTTTTAAATCCAGTCTGCCACTCTTTGTCTTTTGATTGAAGCACTGACATTTGACATTGACATTTGAGGTAATTATCAATAGATATGTATTTGTTGCCATTTTATACGTTGTTTTCCAGTTGATTCTGTATTTCTACTTTTATCCTTTTTGTTTTTCCATTTGTGTTTTAATGACTTCCTTTTGTATTATGTTTGTGTGTTCTTCTTTTTGGTTTTTGTGAATCTGTTATATGTTTTTGATTTGTGGGTATGCTATTTTTCAAGTATGCTAACCACTTCCTATTTCTACTTGCTTTAAATTATAGTCATTTAGACTCAAATGCATTCTAAAAGAAAGAAGAAAAAAATCTACATTTTCTTACTATCTTCCTCCAGATTATATTATTTTGATGTCTTGTTTTACATTTTCATGTTTATCCTTTTGCTGTTCATTGTGATCATCATTGCTTTCAAAAAAATTTATTTAAGAAAAATCTGTATACTGGCTTATTTAAGTGATTTACTTTCCAATTGTGATTTTCTCTTTCCTATAGCTTCTTGCTTCTTTTCTGTTTAGAGAAGACCTTTCAATATTTCTTTTAGGATAGGTTTAGTATTGCTGTATTCTTTTCATTTTTGCTTGTCTGAGAAATTCTTTATCTCTCCTTCTATTCTAAATGATAATCTTTACTGGGTAAAGTATCCTAAGTTTCAGATTTTTTCCTTTCAGGCCTTTGAATATATCTTGCCACTCCCTTCTGGCCTGCAACATTTCTGTAGAGGAATCAGCTGATAACCTTATGGGGGGGGGTCCCTTGTAATTAACTCTTCTTTTATCTCTTGCTGACTTTAGAATCCTCTCTTTATATCTTTTGCCATGTTAATTATAGCACATCTTGGTGGAGGTCTGTTTGGGTTCATCTTGTTTGGGACCCTCTGTGCTTCCTGTCCCTGGATATCTGTTTCCTTCTTTAGGTTTGGGGGTTTTCAGCCATAATTTCTTCAAATACATTTTCAATCCCCTTTTCTCTTCTTCTCCTTCTGGAATTCCTATTTCGCACAGATTGAC